CACAGCCTGAAGCAGACAAAAAACAACAAAAAAACAAAATTGTTGCCGCCTCAGAGCTAAGAGGGGAGAAAGTACCAGCAGGACACAAAGCTTTGGATCAGCACAAACAAAAATGACAGACCACTGTGGTAATGCAAAAGGAGAAAAAGTCTGAACATTGGCTGATTATGGTCTCCTCTGTGAGCCTCCTGCCAGCTTCAACAGGGAGGAGATTGAGATGTGTGGCTTTCTGGAAAACCTAGTGGGACAGCTTGGGTGTTTTTAATTCCTTTCTTGTTGTTGACTGATAATAGCCACAGAAATGTTCATTTGGGGTGGGGGGTCCTAATGGGTGCAGCCTTAGTTTATGGAACAGGATACAAGAGTTATGTAAAAAAGCAACAAGCTAGTTACAACAGCCAAGCAACAGAAAACTGGTCTGAAATGATTCTAGTTTTACTGCTTTCCTGTGTTTATAAGCTTACAGTGAGAGGGATTATATGGAAGTAGCTCAGTTTTCTGTCATTTTCACACTTGTAACTGTTTTTCCTTCTTTACAAGCCTCATTCCTAAATTGTTTTCTCTTGTTGTTGTATATAAAACAAAATGAATCCAGATGAGTGCGTGAGGCAAACACAGTAAACTGACTATAAACTCCAATTCAAATCACAAGATTATGGAACCTGTGAAATCTGTTTTATTTTTTCCCAATTTCCACTTTTTCTGCTTTTATTTTTCAAAATTGCATTTTAACCCAAAGCACATTTAATTAGGGGTGAATAAAAGAAAACTGAAAAAGAAAAACAGCCACAAGTCAACATTTACTGTTTTTCTGTTTCAAAATAAAACATCAAGTTTGTTTTACAAGGTGCTAAAAAGTTATTTCCCCTCATTAGTGGCCAAAACACTGCAAAAACCTCCAACATATTCTTCCTTTCTCATTCTGAGTTTTATTATTGATTTAATTTTGTCTATGAAATTCTACAGTTCTGTCAGGGTTATCCTCATTGTGGAAGGCATAGGGCCCTACTGGCATCAATAAATCAGATTTGATAGCAATGTTATTCTCAATATAAAATTATTAAAGTTCTAGATCTATCTATCTTAGGAAGTTTTCTAGGGGAAACCCAGAGAAGGCTGTTTTAATAAATATTATTTTTTTTCTTCAGAGAAAAATTATTCTGATATTTTATCCGACTTCCTCCCACAGTCCAAAAATATGACTGTAAGGTTAATTGGTTTCTCCAAATTGTCCCTAGGTGTGAGTTTGTGTATACATGGTTGTGTGTCCTGTCTGTCTCTGTGTTGCCCTGCGACAGACTGGCGACCTGTCCAGGGTGACCCCGCCTCTCGCCCAGAACATTAGCTAGAGATACGCACCGGCACCCCTCCCGACCCCACTAAGGGACAAAGGTTTTAGAAAATGGATGGATGGATGGATGGATATTTTAAATCCTATATTAAGAAAAAAATAATAAAAGTTTACAACATAAATTTAGCCACACAAAACACACTTCCAGTTTGTTTCTATATATAACTTCTGAAATGCAGTAGGGTATGTTAGAACAGGGTAAAATACTTCCAGTGATAACAGTGTTTACTGTATCTTCTTGATCTACAAATGGCACAACAGACTCAGCAAATAGAAACTAGCAGAGTAACAAAACAAGACATCTCACTTTAACATAAACTGAGGATGTGTCTGCTGAATGCTTGGTTAAAACATATTTGTTCTTGAATAAGTTTTACTTAAGTAAAAGTAGTGATACATTACAATGATATTAAGTAAAATTTATATTGCAGTAACACTACTCCCAAAAATAATTTCTTATCATGATTTCTTCCTAAAAATGGATTGTTTAGACTGAAAACTTTTTAAACAAAATTGAGTAATGAACTGAACTTAATGCAATGTTTGATAACTACTGGTATGTATGATTGAATTGAACTGACTTTTTGTTTGTAAAGTACTTTGAGTTGACATGTTATGAATTGCCGCAGTGCAGACATATAAAGTGAAAACTGAGTTGTGAAGTAAACAGACAGCCTGTGACAGACTTCCTGGTACGAGGCACAGCATCATTTCCATACGCATATATCCGGGTTTGAGAGCATGACTGAAAATAGTTTTTTTTTTTAAATTACTCCCTAGCTTTCAAAAATAGCACAAATGCACATTGTGATTGATATATGGTGCATGCTTTTATGAGTTCTGGACATTTTGCAGGTAACCATCTGATTCTGCGGTCCTGACCTGCTTTTAAAAGCGCTGTGTCACTTTTGATGAGTCTTTTCAGCAGGAGTTAACAAATCTATGACAGAATAACAACACTTTTTAGATCTACTCTGCAGAACAAAGATTTTTTTTTCCACCTCCATAAAAATCTGAAATATTTAGGCTCAGGTTTTCAGAGAAAAAGCCTCACAACTATTAATAAAACACTCACTGTAGTCATTGTTCAAGTAATGAGGTTTTACATTTCATAGACTGTCATCTTCTTTGGTAACTTTCTTCCAGAAAAACTCCTTTACTTTGCTCTCAGGCAGAAAGAAGCAGAGCCAATAACTCACTCCAAGCTTTTATGGGCTTCTCATTCCAATAATCCAAGAGAACAGTCATCTCTGAGAGAGTGGCTCTTTGTATGAAGAGCCTCGCTCTTTTAATAATAGCACTACTGCCAAGTAAAAGCATATTACCATGCATGCGCTTTTTTTTATCTGTAACCCTGAAATGTCCTTTATTACAAGTGAAATGGCAAAATTAGAGTTGTTAAATAAGAAACTATCAGCAGTAACTAGGACTAAAACTGAAATATGTACATGATTGAAGAACATTATTAGAAAGAGAAATTGAATAACTGATGCAGATACGATCACAGGTTGAACTGATCATCTTCTCAGTTTGTATGTAGCTTCAGGTTATTTGCTGCTCAACAGAGATTAGCTAACGAGCCAACGTGATGCATCCCATTTCTCGAGGCCTCAAGTATCAAGTCCTACTAATTAGACTAGAAAGTAAAAATTCAGTATGTTTGTTTTAATTTAAATCAGAATCACAGCTTGAACAATTTTTCCTGGAATAAAAACTCTCCCCACCGTCTGGCTAACAGCTTCAGGTGTCTTTTCCTCCTTTTCTTATGTGCCAAGAGAAATAAAGCCATCTGGAAACTAATTCTACACAATGATTGCACCATGAAAATGTAAAAGTATTAAACACTGGGAGATGAAACAAAGAGACTCGCTGGCTTTGAGTGAAGATTAAAGCTATTATCACTGATGAACGTTCATGTTTTAGGTTGGGTGTTGATGTTATCAGCAGACATGAGAATAAGAAATGGCTGCATAATTCTCCTACGTATTGATTTAGCCGTTTCAAGCATAGATTTTTATCTACAAAATTAAAGTGTCACTTTAAAGTTGAGGTGTGCATAAAAGTAAATCTAAATCCTGCAACATGATGACAATATCTAGTCAGGGTGAAAATGGGGAATGTAAATGAGAAAATGACCACAAACCCCTCAAATCTGAGCTGCTACTGTTACACTACACTGCAAAAATACAAAATCTTACAAAGTATTTTCATCTAGTTTCTAGAGCAAATATCTTTGCATACTTGAAATGAGACAAAACTAACTTATGAGCAAAATATGAACTTACTTTAAGTCAATAATTTGTATTGCCTTGTTAATGAAAATGTGCTATATAAATAAAATTACCTTTACCTTGAATTCTAGAATATTGATAAGAAGTACTAGTTCACTTTTATCATGGGAAAATATTTTTGATTTCTCTTTAGCATCAATAAAGCATTTTTGAATGCAATTATCAATATTTAAATATTAAAATTAACTTAAAACAAGCTAAAATCTTTCTGAAAAGTTATTTCTAAGTTAGTTTGGTCTTGTTTCAGGTGTACTAAGATATTTGCACTAGAAATTAAACCAAAAGTTCTTGGTAAGATTTTGTGCTTTGTTTGCACAAATAAAACCATTTCACTGTTTATTTTGTAGTAAAATAAACCTTATTATAAAAGCAATCGGTTATCTATGACCTAATACACAACATGACATGTATTAAGGCCATGTTAAGAAAATTACAAAAAAATAAAATTACGAGAATAAAGTCATAATGTTATGACTTTATTCTTGTAATATTATGACTTCATTCCTATTTTTTATACTAACAACTTTATTCTTGTGTTGCTTTGACTTTAGTCTAACATTAGACTTTATCCTCGTACAAGTTTATTCTTTAATTTTAGTTTTACTTTGTTGTTAATATGGGCCTAATACTCCATTGCATTTATCAGAGCAAGTTTTTTACTATAATTTTTAGGTATTTGTATTCTTCTTTTGGTTTTTTTTCTCCCTGTCTGCTTTTAAAGGGGCAACATTATGTATATTCCAGCCACATAATGCCATTTTATATCTTCATTTGTTATAAAAATGCAGTAATATCAAACATAACTTAAAAGAAATTTGATGCCTTGAAATTGGCCTCTGTCTCTTTAAGAAGATCTCTCTTTTTCTAACTCTCCACCTTTAGCACATCATCAGAACAATGCACAGCGATTCCTCAAACATGTATGAGACAATCAAAGTACTCCAGGTATTTTTTCGATGAAGGAATAACATTACAACAACATGAAGCTCAAGAAACTCAAATTGACATAAAACTGGCCCTCTGGTAGCGTTCTGCATAGCTTTGATTGTGATAAAGTATTTTTGAGGATTGTGTAGACATTTTTCTCATTTTTGTGTAAAGCTGTAGTTTTCTACAGTTTTTTCCTGTCTGCCTTTGACGTCCTCAGCATCACCGAGACATACCTGCGCCACAAAATGAAAGATTTACTGCTGATGGCAACTCTAGAGAACCAAAATTACCAAAACATTTTTGTGCAAACTCTCACATTTTTAAAGCCATTGTGACACATTTTTGCATATTTCATCTGCTGCGGCGTGGCCGTAAATCTGAGGTGTTTATTCATCTTCTTTTCAAGAAAACTCCAGTGACTAACATAGCCAGTTTGAACAATGCCTTTTTTTATTTTGGCATCTTTGAAAACTACTCCATGAACGGCAGTTTCTGACTGAAGAGTAAAGAAAAGATGGAGAAACGAGCGGGCTGTCAGGAAAAGAAGGTACACAGTGTTCAGAGTGAAAGCACAGCGCTGAGGGGTTGGTTTTTGGCACAGACAAGGTAAATAATTTTAGGGTTTCACTTTGTGTGTGTTTTTGTACACCTTGTTGGATGTATATAGTTTAACTACAGGTAAAACTTTTTTTGCATTAATTAGAATTACTTATCACTTACCATGACTGAATGACTGACTGATTAGTAGAACAAATCCTGGATCTGTGAAACTTAAACTGGTTCATGTTATTAGCAAAAAATTAAACCTACACACATTTAAGTGGGAATGTTGGAGTAAACTACATATGTGCAAAAACAATACTCCTCAACACTGTGCAGGTGTTTCTTCTGCTCTTTCCCTTTAGGTTTTCAGTTGTTTTCTGGGTTTGATTCACTGGCAACCGTTCAACATGTTCAGCGGAGCAGAATCAAATGTAGCTCATACAAGCGCAAATTTACAGACAGCACACTTAGAAGGAATGCAAAGACCTCAGCACCAACGTAGAAAAACAAAAACATCTGAAGCTTTGTGTTTGTAGCGAATATCTGAGCTCAGCTGGAGAGACGAGATCATGAAAAAAATCAAAAGGAACTTGTTCTCCACAGGCCAGCATTGTATACACTGCTGTACATGCTGAGTCAATGAATACCCTTTAACTTTTTGGGAGTAATTTTTGCCCTTTCAGTATAAAAACATGTATCATACATAAAAAAAAGGCTTCTAAAACAGCAACGTTTCTCTTTAACGCCGCATCACCGCATTTATGTTTACATTATTTATATTCACAGCCCTATAAAAGTCTGTTTACATGTATTCAAAAAGTAAATACAGCAGATTCAGGTTTAGTTATGTGGGAAAATATATAATGTACAGCAACATAGGAGGCTGAAACAAGGAAAAGTTGGCACGCCTCACTAAGAGAGGATACAAAACACTAAAGATGTTGAATAATTAAATTGTGTGATATGAAGGGGGTGGTAACTTTACTTCCACCCCCCTTAGAGTTCAGTTTAAAAAACTGAACTCTATGCTTAAAGTTGCTCCATCTTCTAAAACTGTCCAAAATTCCTCAAAATATTTCTATGTCCTTGACTATAACTTATCTTTGAAAAAAAAAAAAATATTATTTTGCATTGCAAGGAATTTTAAAAAAGATGTAGCATTTTGACGCCAAATGTCTTGCATATAGTCCGGTGTTGGTTATTAACAGTAGTGGACACCGCTAACTACAAAATTAACCATGCTAGCCCTACAGCACTAATCCTAAATATTAATTCTGAAAAAGTGCTTTCAATACTTTATTTAAAAAAGCTAGTGCTAAAGCACTGACTTAAATTCTAATTATGTCTGCCCTTAAAGGACTACAATCCTCAAGCACCGATTTAATTTTGACATAATTTACATGTTCTATTGTATTTATGCTTATGTATTGTTCAGTATTGTCAATATTGTATTTTGTTTCTGTTTGTATTTTGTTTGAAATCAGATTAGGGGAAAAAAGAGAAAGAACATGAGGAGAGTAAACATAATGTCTTCACCCCCTTCAAAATAAGAGCATAAAACGGCAAACTGCTTGAATTCTTAAGTCATTAACTAAAACATTAACACAGATGCCAATCTTAATTCGACTGAAAGTTTACACAACAGCCAAGTAATTTAGCTCTCTGGAATTTCTCCAGAAAAATGAATTTAAACATTTTCCAAGTTAGCAAAACACTACATGAAACATTAGCTCCACTGTTAGCACATTAGTGGATTAGCGGAAGTGTGCAGAGAAGGATGTCTGGTTTACATAGCCTCCGTCGGCTAGTTTTAGATCACTGTTAAAAACTTTACAGAGGTTTTCATCCACACCATATATTTTAACATTGCTAAACGGTGGATTGATAAATGGTGATATAAATAGCTACACAGAGTGAGGATGTCACATACAAGTCTCTTGTAATGGAAAATTGTATCTTTTGTCACCAAATTATTTATACATTTATGAAATATAACTCAATGTTTGGAGTAGGACACCTTGAAGATATAGCAAAAAAAAAAAATAAAAAATCCATTCAAATCTGAAGTATTCTTTTACTTGTGTTGACTGTTTTTTGGTATAGCATCCAACCATCTGGATTAGCTTCACAGATATATTTAGTTTATGGTGATTCATAATTAGGTCTGTCAAAAAAATATTTTGATTAAATCAATTCTATAAAGATTTATGCTATTAAAGATACTAACTTGCATCAAAATCTATACAAAAAGAGCCATTTTCACCTCCTCTCCATGTTTCATCTTGAGTTGGTTCACAACTTTGCACAATACAGCTGCAAACACAACAACTCCACCTCTTCCCTTTCCTTCCCTTCAGAGAGAAACCTGAATGACAGCTGCTGCTGGAAGGTTAAAACACATCATGTCAGGTAAATCAAGAAAAGAGTGGCGAGTTTCTCTGAAAATTAACACAAACATGTTATTGAATTAAACCCCCTTTTTTTATCTTCAAGTGGTTTTCTTCTGGTTCAGGAATATTTTCCAAACAGTTGGAAAACACAACCCTGTTGAACACTTACACATACACACCTTTTTCTTTTACCAACATCTACGTTTTCTTCTAACTGCAAACATTGACAAAAGCCTAATCTTCAGTAAAGTGATTTTCATACATCGTTTATAAAACTGTAGTCTAAAATTACAACTTTTTTTTATCATATAACCCTCCACAGAAGTCCTTCATATCTCAACAAAGGTTTTATTTGAACATATGGAGCTTAAAAAACAACAGCAAAAAAACTTGTCAAATAAGTTTTTTATTTTTTACTGACCAATTCCGCACTTTGTGACACATTTTTGACACATAATTGTCAAGCTTGTGTTTTTGCCTGGTTGTATGCAAACCACATGGTGGGGTTGAGTCTTGTATTGTTAGCTGTATTGCCACAATACTGCCAATGTTGAAGGGGTGTTATGATCACAAAAAAATGGAGGCTTGCAAGTTGAAATGTACAACACAATTTATAAAATATCCTTTCTTTAGTTGGATTTTACATGTGTCCAAACTCTTACCGAAGTATTTAATTAGCTTGGATATTTTTAGAGTTATTAAACAAGGCAGCAAAACTTCTGCAGAGAATATCTGTACATCTCCTGTGAAGAATTTAACAAATGCTGAAGATCATAGGTGGACTTTGAAACGTGTTTCTAATGACAAAAATATATTTTAGTGTATTCTTTAGGTAAGTGTACAAGTGTTTAAAAATCAAATTAATACAGTTTAAACTCCACAGTATCACAAGATTGCCAAGTCAAGCTTTAACACACACTAAAAAGCAATCTTTTAAAAACAAAAATAATACATGAAAGAAAACCCAACATACTGTATCCCTCACAGCAGTTGGATGTGAGCGTCTACAGTCGGAGGCAGCTGAAGGTCTTTGCATTCGCACACAAGGAAAAGGTTTGTGAACTGGATAAAAACCAAACTAAAATCAGACCATGAAGCTCGTTAATGCCAAAGAAAGTTTGTCTGATGTGCTTCTTTTTGCCACGAGTGCATTGACATAAGGCACAGGCACAGTTCCCCTCTTTCAAAAGAGTGGTTCAATTTATTTTTTTAAACTTACAGGGCAAGAAACCAGTAGGGTGATCACCACAAGGGTTCAGGCAGCTTATTTTATTTATTTATTTATTTATTTATTGTGGTTTAAAATCAACATAATGTAAGTTTTGCTTCTCTGAGCAGCCTGGTTGGAAATATATTCTTGTTAAAAGGCAAAATGACAAAACTGCAGAGGGTTGAAAACACACTACTTTAAATTAGATTTTTACTAAAATTAAATATATTTTTCAAGATTTATAACACCTCAGGGTATGACTTCTATGGAGCATTGTGAACAATAATCACTTACTTTAATACTTGATTTTTTAATGAATCGGCTGTGATTGATTTGTTTTTAACTGCTTGTGTGATAAAAGACATTTGGGATTAATGAGAAGAAGACAAATATTGAATATTTTATGCACAAAACCCTTATAAAACTTTTGTAATTGGATTGAAATTAAGTTTGATGTGAAGGTAACATGGCCAAACTTATGTAGAAACTGTGAGTGAAAATCAGCAAAATAAAAGCACATACAAACACAGCAGCTAAAATATTTCTCAATTGTTCTGCAAAACCAAATTTAAATAGCAAAGATACTTGGCCTGTTGTCATGGGTGATGACCCCAGTGGTTCTGGCACTGAGAAGGTCCAGGGGAAAAAAAGGGAACAGATCAGTGTCTTTTACAGTAGATCTCAGAGGAATTTACTCTCCATTTCTGGCAGGAGAAAATACTCACTGGAATTCTACGTTAAGTGTTTCCTATGTTTGCTTGCTATTAATAAATAGCCGTGTCATGTGAGTCATTTAGGGTCAAACCATTATGATACAAACACCAACCTTATTTATACTTGTCTCTGTCCAGGAGAGAGCAAAAGGTGCCATTCTGTCCTTCTGTATTAAAAAGGTATTGAAACCTGTAACCTTTAGAGTCTTGTAGAAGTTAGGGAAAAATATATGTTCGCACTGAAATTTGGCACCTCTCAGAAACCTTAAAGCAAACTCGTCCTTATTGACTTTTTAAACACATCAGTAGAACCTAAGGTTAAAGTGTTTTTGATTGAAAAATGACGCTTATTTGTTGTCCGTTGGCTCCGGCAGTCCTAGAGGCAGACAGCGTTTGTACATTGGCCTGCTCTGCGTGTCATTTTTTCCCCCTCCCACCAAATATCTTATTTATAGTTGTACAAAATCCTAGAGTTGTAGTCCTAGAGGCAGACGTTGTTGTTGATCTGGCAGGTGGATCCGGCGCCAGCAAGGGACAGAAAAAGTCTCCCGTTAGGACAAACGCAAACTTCATAGACAGTCTGCCTAGTCCCAGAGGACGAGGAGCTGGAAGAGGCTTTTCCTTCTGGCAGCCTCATCAGACGGATCCTCTGAGCATCCAGAGCAATCTGGGTGAATGGAGAGAAAACTGGTGAGACTGAAGACAAGTGTAGATTATTCGACATCAGAAAACCTGACTGGCAAAATCCTGTTAGCATAGTTACAGTAACCATCAGAAGTTTACATGCACCTATGCTATTTACCATCCATCCATTGAATACGTTTGTTCATGTAATAAGTCAATAAAAACAAGACATGACGTCATCCTCCAACTATTTCTTGTCATCTTCTTCATCTTAGTTTGCGCCAGTGGCAATACCCGGTTGTTATTTACATGACTTGTGTGATGTGATTAAAAGTGTTGCAAAATATACCAATTTCAATACGACCAAAAAACTCACCTCATCCTAGCACCAAAACGTTTTATCGAAAAACAAAAGCTTTTTCAAAATTGCCTGATTTCCATTAAGTGGGTCTATTTTTGAAATGTCAATTTGTTCACTTACATTGTCAATGGAAACACAGCTCCTGATAATGTCATTTACTCTCAGTTTACAACAAACACTTGTGAACACAGGAAATTATATACAAGTAATGTCATGATCTGGGCTTGAAGCTCACAATGCTCCACAGAAGAGTTATACCAAGGATACAAACTGATAACCTTGTTACAGACAATCATCTCTGGATTAAGGCACTACTGGTGAAGCTATAGAGTCAAAGGAAACCTGTCAGATAAATATTACAGGAAATCATGAAGCAGGAGAACTGAGATAGGTCAAAGGTGAAATTATTTCTATTCCATTAAACCCAAGACAAGCCATTTGACATTAATGTTATCATAATGTTACCAGTAACTGACTCAGCATGGTAGATATTTGCTGGACTAGTAGGAAATCTGTGCCCAAGAGAAATCACATGCTAAATTGTATTTTTGTGTTAAACACTTTGTGATGGCTACAAGTTGTTTAACTGGAATTAATTCAGATTTATTCAGAGTAACTTGCTTAACAAATCTAAGCTTATGTAATTACATGGGGCCTGAAGAGCAATCAGGTCCAACAAGCCCTCAAGGCATCAGAGATTCCATAATTGTTACAAATCTATTCTCTGAACTCAAGGTGAAACTAATTTAGATCCACTGACCTAAAAACATGAAAGAGCATTTTGTCCCCATCATGATCAAAACAAACATCTCAGCACAGAAAATATAGAAAGGCTGAGCAGTGGTTCAAGACTGAACCCACCGTTCATCATTACGCTCTTCATCACAAACACATTATTGTCAATTTCAATATAGTAAAATCTACTACATTTTAACAAACAAGTGGTTGTTTGGTAAACAACTGTGTTTAATACACAAAATGGGAATGGCAAGTCTCACTGGGCCAAAACCAGTTCACAAGTTAAATTGGCCAAGTTAATATTTTTTAATAAGAAAAAATTAAGTTAATTAAAGGGATGGCAGCTGAAATGATCTTAGTTTGGAGAATTAGAAAGAAATGATCATGGGCAAGTCAAGCAGACAGCTACTTCAAACATTAAGGACAGGGTGTAAAATTTTTACTATCCAAGATGAATTAATCCTCCAAACTTTGCTGTACTTTTAGAAAATAGTTTTCTAAGGTGACATTCTTACAGTTAACACTCCCTTTAAGTTCCTGGACAGTACTTTTATGTGGTCTGTAACTGCATTTTCTAGACTTATTTGATTTGACAGTCACATTTCCCTCCAGATAAATATTACTACTGCAAAGATGAATCAACCAAACTGCCTGAAGATGAGAGTTAAACTGGTGGCATCATATCAAAAAGACTGGAGGCTGAAAACACTGGCAGAGGTGGATGGTCAAACTGATCACTTATTTAAATGTGATTTCTTGGTTTTCTATTTTTAATAAGTAAGGGTATCTGATATAACAGATTCATTTAATACAATTTGGAATAAGTCTGAATTGTAACAAAATGTGGAAAAAGTAAATCACTGTGAAAACTTCTTGGATGCACAGACAAAAATATATTCAATTCTCTAGTATCACAGAGCCACACGCCATTGAATCTTATTTTTGTATTTTCTGAATCGTGCTGGAGTTTACCTAACTTGGGCTTCGACCAATAAGAAAAAAGATCAATAACCATGATTCACAAAAGTGTTTCTTTATTTTGTTTCAACAAATATTTGTTGGATAAAAATCCAAAACAGTAAATCCCAAAATCGCCTGCAGTTTACTGCTGGTTATTTCTCCAGAGCAATGACAGAAAAACCACCCCAAGTTTTCTCTGCTCCCCTCCCTTTACAAACACATTTACTCATAACTCATTTTATCTCTCTCATTGATTGGAACAAAATATCTTTCTCACTCTGTGCAGTAAAAATCCACTGCTGCATGAATCCAATCTCTCTTCCCTGTCCTCCTCCTCGGTCTCCTGGGGCTCGTGCCTGGCCAGTGTTTTACTGGCCACAGAGAGGAGGAGCTCTCCAGCCATAAAACGAAGAAGTAAAGGAGCTATTACCAGGAGCTCCGGGGAGGCATCGTCAACAAATGACCTGGAACCCCTTTTAAAGCTGATTCTCAGCTGACTTCCTCAGGCAGCTGCTGCTGAACAAATCCTCACACCACAAGGGGCAGATAGACCGGGACTCTGTGGGTCCAGAAGGGCAAGAGTACATGTAGATAAGCTTGGTAAAGCATTAATCTAACCAGAATATTTTATTTTAATATTATTTTGCGTTTATAATCTACATCTTTTTTATTACGCTGGAAAATTCACTTTGAATTACAAAACTTAAGAGAGAAATCTCTTAAATCTAAGCTCAACATGGTGTGATTAGTTAATGCATCAGTGAATCAGATCTAATATATTTGTTCTCTCATAGGTCCGTCCGTCCAATTCTGCTTTAGTAGGAATTTTTGTTCTAATTTATATAAATTAACCAGAAACTCCACAGAGTTTATAGTGGAAAAGGGAGAAATGTTACAATAAAAATGTATATTAACCCTAAAAAAAGGGAAAAATACCCCAACATATTTGTAATTTCACACCACATCCTACAGACAAGGTGTTTGTTGTTTTTGATGTCAGTCTACACCTTCTGAGCTCTCTGTATAAATCATCTCAATTAGACAGAAACTTTTTTTATTATCAATATTTAGATGATTATGTTCTGATGCAGGATTCAGTCTCGGTCCAAATGCAGAGTCTCTGTAATTAAAACTTGTTGCAGTGTGTCTGGACAGTTTGCATTTATCTAATGAAGACACAGACACGTGCTCGGCGGCCCGTTAATGAGCGGCCGTGCTGCGTTCCCGATAATTTCAGTATCTGCTCATGTGGCCCGTCACCGGATAATAGCCAAAACCTTTCTGTAATTGTGGCGGCAGCTCCAGCAGACATGGAAGCTGCGGTGTAAGACAGAGGTTTGACAAATGGACATTTGCTGGACTAATGGAGTGTGAGAGCACTGTTCTAATTATATGCTCTGTTCACAGGAAGTTCCACATTTAATCTTTGAGCACATGTCTGCAGGCGTGGCTTCTGCTTTTAATTGGACCAGACTGGATCCAGGGTCACCTTCATAACCTCCACTGCTTCCATTGGTCTCATATCAGCAGCTTTTCCTAAAAACAGCAAACTGTTTTGTGAGAAACTTTTAAATACTTTCTTTCTCCCCTAATCCTCCTGCGTTGATGTTCGCAGATCTGACAAGGGACGACTGCTGAAATGTACGGAGGAAAATCCTTTTATCAGGAAAGATGAATGCCAGGCTGATGGGTGTAACGAATCGCTGGATGGTTGGAGGAACTCGGGTGCACAAAGGAAAACGATGGGAGAATTAGAAAGATGCTAAAAAATCCAAGTTAAAGACAGAAAGTGAGAAAGATGAATGGAAAATAAATAGTTATTAGCACATGAAAGGATCAGGAGGAAGAAAAAAGAGAAAAAAATCAACTTCTGCTTCTAGTTTTCCTACTTATTTGCACTCCTGGTGGACGGACAGTGAGCAGGAAAATTGCCAGCGGCCATCTTAATAATGTTGGCCCACGTTGGCTCAGAGAGCTAAATATTGTTTGTGTTGTTTGCTAAAAATACATTTGGACAGAAGGAATATTAAACTGAGCTGGAGCCAGAAGACAAAGACAGTTAATTTCTCCACTTTCTCCGCTGCAACAGAGTGGGAGGTTTTTCCATCGACAGAGAGCCAAGTGGACCTCGCTGTGTGGGGAATAGAAAGCTATGCATAATCTTTCTGCTCAGCTCCTGGATGGCGGGGTGGAAATGAAATGAAACTGCACGTTGAAAGATCGTGTGACTGTACTGCAAAGATCAAAACATCAGAACAGTGACAAATACAAAAAAAAAAAAAAGTTCAGTTCAGTTCTACATTAAGCAGTGTTCACATACTGATGTCCAATTTGAGTTATTTATGTCTGATGTCAGTATTTTATTTTGTATTTTATCTTTATGTTTAGCATTCTGTCTGTGTGTCAGGCTACTGCTGCCCAATAATTTCCCAATTCTGGGATCAGTAAGGTTCATCTTATCTGATGTTCAAAACTGAAGGACTCTTGAAGAGACAAGACATGAAGTCCAGTTGTCTTCTAGGAAGCATTTCTAATATCATATCCTGAATGACTCAGAATGTAAACAGAGGAAGCAGAATAAGATGTGCTGAGAATCCCATTTCTATTCATCATTCTTGACGTCTTTTTATTCAGTTAGTGAGTTTAGCATCCAAGCAACCTTAAAGTCCATTTGGAAGCTGACCCACCTCTCCGTCTTTGGACTCCAGCCGCAGCTCGTTCCTGCAGATGGCCTGGATATCTCCGGCCTCGGCCAGGATCTGGATTCCTTTCGGGGCCTCCATCAGTAAAGAGCGGGTAGGAGACTCCAACCTGCAACAACACCGCTCCGTTAGAACCTCTGGACAGGTTCAACCTCATCTCTTCAAAATTCATGCATTCAAAGAGAGTTTACCATGGTGATAGACCTAGGAAAGATATATTATATATTGATCACGTGTCTATCGTAACATATATTGTTACTGATTGTCTAGCAAACATAAACAAGATGAACTTGTTTATGCACCACCACTATTTTTAGCTGTTGCTTAACAAGTTATAGATTTAACACCATTCACTGGGATTCCAACATGGCTGTGAACAGGAGATTCTGTGACGTCTTTGAATATACATGGTTGCATTAGTTCAACAACAAACAATTAAAAATGTTGGTCACATTACTACAAATAAACTCTGTTAAGCTGCATCAAAAGAGACAGACAGGCACTAAGGTCTTAGTTTCCTGTAATGAAAACTTGGGACAGTTAGAGAAATGCAAAGCTCAATGTCAAAGCAAACGTCATGAAAGTGAAAGAGGCCAACCTGACTCACTCACCAGGCAATAAAGTCTGAGGTTTGACTGCTCCACTAATGAACAATGAAAGGTACGTTGACACGTCTGCATAGCAGCTCCACTTCGCTGGTCATTAACCATGATGATAATCATAATCCTGCCACTCCAGTTGATAATACTGACTGTAAAATGACTGTTGGCTCCCTGCAGTTTTTTTTTTTTTTTTTTTTTTGCTGTCATTTACATTAAGAGTTGGACTCTCTTTCAGGCTTCAAACCCAGGATGATTTATGGATTCAGGTCTTATTAAAACTGCCCTGTTTGAGTAGAACAAAGGAAAGTATGAGAGGAGTGGCAGCCAAAAAAACAGTGGGTGAAGGTCCAAATTAAATCTATAATCTACTTTTTATTAACCTCTTGCTCTCTCCCAACAGAGGTTTAAGAAGCCCTTAACACTTTATAACAAGAGTTCTTGATACTGTAATGAATTAAAACATGTTATCCTACAGAGATGTTTTAGTGTTCAAGCATAGTAGTTTATATTGAAGTGAAATGTTTTTTTTTTTTTTAAGAGTTTAGTGATCTGGTATTTCTCGGGACAAACTGCTTTAAACTACCATGGGCCCCAGTTGTGGCGGTTAGGAACCCCAGCAACCCGTGAATAGCTAAAATTTGTGGATACAAATGTTTTTAATAGGCAGTTAAAAGTGAGATTCCCACTTTTAACAGCCGATTTTAACACTTCAAACAGAAAATATACTTTAATATGTAATATGCACAGTCAAATCCATACTATCACAGAAAATATTATCTACATTTTTCCATAACTTCTTGTGGGTTCAGCCAATCAGCACCAAAGAAAATAAATTGCAATCTTGTATTGAGTGCTTTGAAAATGCCAGCCAATAGCATTGTGGCCAGGTATTTCAACTTCAAAGGTTGCAATTTCTTCTAAATATCTATTGAAATATAATTTATATGTAAATCAGTGAATAGGTGGATTTTCTACAAATAATTTGGAGTTTAGCTCTGCTGAAAGCTATGCACCGATCCATATTTTTCACTACCAATACTGATATCTGAGGTTTAGAGTCAACACTGATCCAATACAAAAAATCAGTGCTGAATTGACTTAAAACATTACTTTTTAAAATAATGATACTTTTTAAATATGGACATAAGTGTACTGAATTACAAATTTAAATCACTCATCAAGCTATCTGATTCTTATATTTCAGGGTTTACTGCTGGACTTTCTTGCCCCATAAAACTCCAGATCTTGACAAAACTTTAAATGACTGAGTTGGTGCCTCAAAAAGAAGACAGAAAGAAGGTGGACATTGGAAAATAAAATATTACTTGCACTACTTCTAAAGCCCAAACATAAACATTAATTTAATGCTCTATACCAAAGTGGTATTTAGCAGAATGCTAATGCTAAAGCAATAAGTTCAACCAAGTCAATTTCTACCATATGTCAATGACGCAACGTGCTATATCGTCCTCTACATGTCAGAATTGTTAATGCACACCTACCTGTATAGTTGAGATTCAGGAAGTGATTCTTTACAACAAACATTTCACACATTGTTTCAGTTTTATTGTTGTTATGTATCGCTAACTCGGTTGCTAATTTGGCTAATTAACCACAATAGGGCTTTGGTCAGAAAGCACGCAGGACATCAGTAGATTTTATACTATTTACAGCATTTGGGTACAGAATAAACATAATTTGCTGCACCACATCATGGGTGGAGAAGATGAGATAATGCTGGGTAATCAGTCTTCCCCTACTTCAAAATAAGAGCATGAATACAACAGGCTGACTACTTGAAGAATTCTTAAAAGTTGATAGCCAAAACTTCAAATAAACTCTATCCAACTGAAAGTTTACAAAACAACCAAGTAAATTATCACTTTAGAATTTATCCAGAAGTGCTAAATGAAAAGTTAGCTCTGCTTTTAGTACATTAGCTGGTTAGCAAAAGTGTGTTTTCTACTGACAAAGTATTTTTTGCATTTTTCAGAAGATCATGCAGAAAATTATGTAAAAACACGTCATTGTGTTGAGTTTAACTTCTTAAGGCAAATTTTCTTTGGATCAGCTGATGATGTGTGTCAACAGGTGAATAAAACATTTATGTCCATAACTGCACTATATATGCACATTCTATTTAGCATGTCATTCATCATTTAATCTAAGACATCTGGTGATCATGTAGCAACTATGTCAATACACTTTGCTGCTCTACAAGTTTGTTGCTCCTCATCAGTCAGTCGCTTTCTTTGTTGTCTATAAGGAAATGTTTGAAAGCAAACAAAGCAGATTTGCTGTTAACATTCAGAGAAGCGCCTGCTGAAGAAAAGGCCTCCACGCTCTCATCTCCCCTCGTTCTTTAAGGTTCCTCCTCTGGGAGTCCGGCTGTGAATTCTCTCTCATTCATTTCCTCTTCACGACCCACATGAATTTGATGCTTGTCTCTTTTTCTTTGTTTTTGTTTCTCCTCCATTTTCTTTAGTCTGTTTTTTATATCAAACAAAAAACAAGCTTCAGTCTCTCGTCTACCTGTTTTATTTTATGTTTCCAGTCTGTTCTACCTGGTGTAGGTTTATAGTTTATTTCCATGATGTCATCTGTGTTACTTTTACGACTGGCACAAGCTCATTTCCTCTCAGCGATCAATATAGTTTCATCTTCCTCTCTGACCTGTTTTCTTCTCCGCTTTATTCCTCCTTTATATCAGTTTTTCCCGTCCTCTTCCCAGGCACGGCTTCGTATCTACAACCAGGATCAAAGGTTAATAACTTTCTGCGCTTCTTCCTCATATTGTTCGTCTTCAGATAACGGCGAAAGGTTTTTAATGCTGCAGATACCGTAGATGTGCAGCATGTGAAACATGCAGCTTTAATGCTCCCTGCCTTTGGCTAAATGTGACTCCTTTCTCCTTGATCCGCACCCATTACCTGCACTGCAGGAACCCAGCAGTTCTGAAAGGATTTACATGTCACTCTATCGAAAAAGTTTAATTGCATTTCACTGAAAATGCAATTATTTCCAGGTTTTTGGTTTTTGTTTGTTTCTCCTAACCCATTTTTGATCACCAAACACATTATACAAGCAAAAATATAACTTGAGTACATGAAAAATGTAATTTTCAAATAATAACTTCAAAATAAACTGGTTGTGCAATCCTTAAAAATAACTGATTTATTGCTGAAACTGGATTAATTTTAGATGCTTGACTGCGTTGACAGAAAATATTTGAGTATTTTCAGTTCAGTTCTTGCTTTTGAAACATTTGAAAGTAAAATAAACGCCATCCAAAGTGAAAAAAAAAACAACAAACACGCTATATTTTCATCTATTTTAGTTTTACATTGAAATAAAATGCAATTATTAAAAAGATGCTGAACTTGTATCGCTGCCCAGATTAGAAAACCGGGCAGAGGTGTTGGAGTTGGGGATGTGATCTTTGCATCTATGAAGCCTCCTTTTTCAACTCCTTTGAGGTTTGGGGTCGTAGTTTAGATGTTATGTGAGCTTTGGAGATGCTAACCAGTTCTTCCCAATTATACAATGCCTTGTTGCCATGACTACGCATCATAACAAATGTCTGTTGATCAAACCGTAAGAGCAAAACTCCCTCCAGCTGCACAGCTTCCAAAAACAGAGGGGAAAACAACAAGCAAGGCCTCAACCTAAAAGAAATTAAGCTAAAGTCTATTTCCTAATAGAGTTAGGAATAACGTGGTGAAGGTATTTCACCACGTGGTGAAGGTATTTCACCACCATGCAAGAAATAGAGTGTGGATGACAATGAGGGAAAGAAACAAAAAGTGGGAAAAAGTGAAGAAAACTAGCTGAAAAGCAACATTTATTTAATCTGTGATTTGTGATGCAGCAGCCAGGTGTCATTGTTTGTAAAATAATGCGAAATGCTCTGTCTCCTCCTGTTGAGGTGTAGTGGAGAACAATAAACATGGAACGCTGTGAAAACAGGGTGAAAGTCACCTCAAAGTTCTAACTTTTAACAGGCCGTGAAAAATATCCCTGATGTATTTATGACCTATCGACCATCCAGAAAACTTCAAGAGCTGTCACAACAGTTTATTCAGTTTCTGAGATTTCACCAATGATAACATGATATATTTTGGAAAACTGAAAAGGAATGGACTGAGATCTTTGCTTATTTGAGTCTGGAAAAATACAAAAGTTAAAGATTTTTAACAGATTTTGAAGAGAAAGTCAAGCTATAATGGAGGTAATATTTGCCAGAAATAAAGTAACTCAAGAAAGTGCTGCTAAACTGTTTTCCCTCTTGTATTTGACTCAGCTTCATTTCTTTAATTGATTTATCCAACAGGGAGGCCTTTATCTGAGTCTGATACATTAAGGAGCAAAAAAAGGCTCTAGTCACTGAGAGAAGAAAACTCTCCAGACTGAGATACTGTCAGATTAACAACAGTTTTAAAAAGATTCTGAAAGTTAAAACTTTTTTTGTCCTTTACGCTCTTCTTAAGGAGGAAAATAACCTCAAGTC